CCTGTCTCTCCCCTTGGGAAGCCATCCTGACCACTTGAGTAAACTGAGTGGCTGCTTCCTCTTCTCCTTGTTAAATCAATCGGCCCAACCTGTTTTCTTTTTCCCATACACTTGTCTTTCACTATATCAGAGGCACAGATTGGGCCATTAGAGATAGTCTATTCAATCACCAGATATGCATTCAACATCTGCTGTGTGCCAAGCATCATTCTAAGTGCTGGGGATGCTTCAGTGGACAGAGTCCTGCCCTTAAAAAGCTTAGGTTTTAGTAAAAGAAGATACACAAAATGAATAAATACAGTATTTATAGTTGTTGTTTTGAGACACTGTCTTGCTCTGTCACTCAGGCTGGAGTGCAGTAGCGTGATCAGACCTCACTGAAGCTTCAAACTCCTGGGCTCAAGGGATCCTCCTGCTTCAGCATCCTGAATAGCTGGGATTACAGGCACATGCCACCATGCCCAGCGAATGGTTTAGTTTTTATAGAGAACAGGGTCTCCTAGTGTTGCCCGAGCTGATCTTAAACTCCTGGCCTCAAGAGAGTCTCCTGTCTTGGGCTCCTGGAGCACTGGGGTTACAGGCACAAGCCCAGCCACTTTGTATTTATTAATGGTGTTAATGGAGACGACTGCTGTGAAGAAACATAAAATGATATAAGGGAGCAGAGCGATGGTGGAATTTCACATGAGCAAGTCAGAGAAGGCCTCTCTGATAAGATGAGAATGAAGCAGAGACCTGAGTGGAGGCCCAGAGTGAGCCCCGTGGTATCTTGGGACAGAGCAGTTGAGGTGGAGGAGTAGTAAGTGCAAAGGCCCTGAGGCACAGGAAAAATAAACCGGGGCTTTGAAATCAAAACCATATGTTTTAGCTGGATGCCCTGGGGGCAAATATTTAACCTCTCTGCACTTATTTTCTCATCAGTAAATGAGAATGACACACTTATTTTTTTTCTGTATTCTTATGACAATTCAATAAAATAGTCTTCTTGACATGGCAGGCGCTTAGCAAGCCGGTTCCTTTCTCTTCTCCCTGCCTCTCCATTCATCCTCAAAGCCTCCACATGATGCTGACTGTGGTGTCTGGCGTACAGCACATGCTCACACATTTGCTGTAAATTACAAAGGAGCACTTAGCTAAAAATGGATCTCTTTTATAACAGGTATACTTTCTTTGCCACCTTCATTAAAAATGGTATTAACAAAAGCCATTCCAGCCATGTCCCCCACATATAACCGTTGGCCTCAAGAGGTGTTAACAATGAGAAGAAGAGAGCGGACAGGATTCTCCATATGTGAGTTCTGCGATTCCTCTTAGATCTAATCCTCTGTGATTCAAGGAGATGGCCCCTTTTGTTCCCATTACACTCATTAACAGCAATATTCTGCTAAAAAGCAGTTTAATAGCTTTGGTCTGATATGAAAGGAATAAAGGAAGGGAATAAAGAACTCCAGGCAGCCTCCTTGGTGATTAAGGAGGGCACAGCTGTACTAGGGAAGCCAGGGGACCGTCCACGGCTGTTTCTGTATCTGTGATCGGCCAGTCCTTCCCTGTAATTCCTCTTTTACAAGAAGCCTTCTTGAAGTCTATCTCCTACAACCCTGTTGATTAAACAATATATACATACGATTCAAAAGTCAAAACAACATAATAAGGTGTACGTTGTGGAATCTTTTCCCTACTCCTGGCCTTGTTCTTTCTTTTCAACCCTGGAAAGTAGTTGCTCTTAATACCTCCTTGTTCCTTCCAGATTTTCTTTATATAGATACAAGCAAAAATAAATTTTACTCCCTTTCTTTTTAAACGTTAAAAATGTTTTAATTTGGTTTTTATTTGTATATATTCATGGGGTACACGTGCACTTTTGCTACCTTGCTATATGCATTGTACTCTGGGTATATATGGGTTCCTGTGTGTGTTTCTTCACTGTGCTCTTTTTACTTCTCAGAATATCCTGAATATCATCCCTTGTCAGTGTGTAGAGAGATTCTCACTCTTTGCTGCGGGAACACGGTATCCATTGGAAGATGGACCTTCGTACATTTAATTCTTCCTTTCTGAGGGGTGTTGGTAACCCGCTTCTGTGTTCACTGCACTATTTCATAAACACATTTTTAATTTCTGAATATCCCTCTATAGCTGATAGGATTCTTGAAATAGAGGATGTGATTTTATTTGTGTTTGTATCCACAGCACTTCAACAAATACTGTGGGTATAAGACTAAGCAAAACCAAACACAATCTCTTCCCTGAAGGTTGGACTTACAAGATGGGGGAGAGAGATGATAGTTTCTAGCACCTACACCCCAAAATACAGAATTATAATTGTGATATGTTATATAAAGGAAAGTGCAGGGAATTATAAGAGCAGAGACTAGGGCAGTGTCTTTGGGTCTGGTGTGAGAGACCAAGAAAGACTCTTCCACAAAGCTGATGTTTGACCTGGGGTCATGATAATGAGGGTGGATAATAAGAGGTGGGGGGTGGGGTGAGAGGAAGATACCGTATTTTTTCCTTCAAAGAAAAATAATCATTTTAGTGGAGCAGCCGACACAGAGAATAGTTTGTCCAGAAGCCCTGAGTTTGAAGGGAGCACTGTGCATTTGGGAAAGAGAGCATGATGCATGGTAAGGTTGTAAAAGTAGATGGAGGCGAGGTCATTTAGAGAAGTATCACAAGGTTAGAGATGTTGATCTTCAGCTGAGAGCAATGGGAGCTAATGGAAGGCTTTTAAGCAGGGGAGTGACATGATCTGATTGACATTTTAAAATAATCACTCTGGCCACCCAGGTCTAGAACAGGCTGGAGGGTGGTAAGAGTCTAGAGCAGTGGTTCTCAACCTTCCTAATGCCATGACCCTTAAATACACTTCCTTATGTTGTGATGACCCCCAACCATAAATTTATTTTCATTGCTACTTTAGAACTGTAATTTTGCTACTGTTATGAATTGTAATGTAAATATTTGATATACAGGATGGTCTTAGGTGACCTCTGTGTAAGGATCGTTCAACCCCCAAACGGGTCGCAACCCACAGGTTGAGGACCACTGGTCTAGAGCTTGAAGTAGAGATTGGTGATAGTGATGGAGAGGAATGGCTTAAGAGACTTAAGCAGAGTTAACAGGTCTGTTGATAAACTGGCCATGTGAGGTGTGATGAACAACTTCTAAGATGCCAGCTGGAGAAATAGGATGGATAATGGCTCCTTTGCTGACATCAGGATGCCTGGAAGAGGCCCAGATTTGGAGGAAAGCATCCTGAGTTCAACTTTTGACAGGTTGAACTTGAGGTCCTTTTGAGGAACTCAGGAGAAATGGAAATTTGGGTTCTGAGCAGAGATGACAGAGCCTTTTGTGTGTAAGGTATGTAGAGGAGATTCTTTGTGGAGAAGACAGAGAACGGAGCCTGAAGAGGGTTTCAGTGAAGGAGGAGTCAGCAACGGGCATGAGAAGGAGCAGCCAGGATAGGAGGAAAAACTGGGGAAGTATAGAGGCCGGTGGAAATAGGTCGCTCAAGCTGAGTAACAGGTGCCAACCGGCTGATGGTCTCATGGGCAAGGCAGCTCATCTCTCCTCCACCAGCCACACTGCCACGTACTGATGCATTAGGATCTGCACACTCTTTCTCCAGAGAGAGGCAAGCTTCTGAAGCTCTTCTTTTTATCTATCTGTCATTTTTGGTGTCTTTCTGAGCTCAGAAAGGGCTATGCTGAACTCCGATTTTCTTTCATATACGGGTACAGTCGTCCTTAAGTGACACACGCCTCATCATTAGTGTAGGCAACTTTCTCTTAGAAGTGTGGCACATTTCAACATCGATAGGAGGGTTGGGAAGTTTCTTCTGTGTGCTGACACTGGCGAGTCTGCACTTAATTAGGTAAGGAAATAACCATGTTGTGCCAAAGGCATTGGGGAGCCTTCATTACAAAATCTATTCCATCACTTTCTCTTTCCATCTGACTGTCTACCCTTCAATTAAAATTTCTCTTTTATTTTTAGGCCTAAAAATAAATCCGAAAAATTTGCTTATCTCATTACATTTTCTGGCAATACTCTATGCTGACCTGCTTTTTAACTTTTTGTAGATTTATTCCGTCTAAAATTAATTTTTCCCTCTTTAGGATTCTGAAGGTTCTATCGGCTTGGTTTGTGTTCAGCCTCTTATTTTCACAGAAGTAGAACTCAAAGGTACCTGCACAGGGTAGATTTTCCTTCAAAGAAAAATAACCATGCTAGCCAAGGAGCCGAAAAATTACTCATTATGGTCTGAAAAATCACAAATCATAGTCTGACAAATTATATTATACACAATGACCTGCTTTCCTCCAAGCCCAAGCCTGAAAATCTGTCCTTAAAGCAGGGTAGAAGAGAGTTATTATTATTATTTAAGATGTGAAAGGCCCCAGGAGAGAGGAATGATAATGGGTGGGAAGTCTTTGAAAGGATGAGAATTTACAATGATAGGCAAGGCAAGCATGGTGGGTAGAGGGGAGAGAAAGAAATGGCTTGGTGTTTCATTTACTCACAGAATCAGCGGTGTCTTTGTATGTAACTAACATTTCAGAAAATGATGCTCCTCCTCGAATGCCAGTTCTTTCCCTGGTATGGTAAGAGACAGCAGCATTTAAATTCAGGAATCCTATTATATGATCTTACTACTTAGGTATTCACAAGCAGAATTTCATCTTTAAAGTCGTCAAAAGAATTTTAGCCATATCTAGTCTTCTAAGGAAGCCATGAAATGAACAATGCCAGTAACAATTACGAAACTAAATTGGCCTTATAAGAACAAAAAAAATATCAATTTTGCCAGTTTATCGTCATGGTGACTAATTTCCATATAAATGACCTGACTTTATCCAGTGTCAAAAACGTGCCTGTATCTTGTTTTTTATACTTGCAGTTCTTGGGATTTACTTATGGATTACTTGTGGAAATATTTGAAGGCACGTTGGTATGCATTGCTGTACTCTAATTCTAATTATTTTTTTCTTTTCTGGCAGTATATCAGTTACAGCAAGAGGCACCTCGTCCCAAGAGGATCATTTGTCCTCGGGAGGTCAGTACTCAGCTATTTCCAATACACCTTGTTAAATATGATGAATTGTCAGCACTATGTTGCTATTGGAGGGATTTCAGGTTTCCTGGGAGTTGATTTCTTTTAACGTTTGTTAGAGTGTCAACAAATTTAATGTCTTTACACAATAACTAAGAAAATGCCGTGAAGGCTATGTTAACCAGTTTGATGAAAACATTTCGAATTGTATATAAAACCAGCACATTGTACCCCACGATTGCATTAATGTACACAGCTATGATTTAATAAAAAAAAATGTAATGTCCTCATAATCTATATTTTGAAATCAGACATTATTTTAAAAATACTAACTAGGAATCAAATGTCTCACATGTTTTAACCACTGCAGAAGCAAATTAAACATCATTTATAACCCCCCAGAACACGTATTCTGGTTATCTTCTTTCTTAATGTCATTTTGATTCTTTTAGCATTTATTATTATGAAATATTTCCAGCAGAGAAAGTACAGAGAAGAATAAATGGCCGGGTATTTTCAATATCCATATTTAGCAAACCTTTATCCTTGGTTATATTTTCTTGACATTTTAAACTAATAAAACCTTACAAGAAAAGTGACTATGTTTTTATTCTTGGAGATAACTTAAAAAATATATCAGCTCATAAAAATGTTTCCCGGCCTGCAGAACATTCCCTAGCCCTCCTTCACTAATCAGTTCTCTGATCACGTGGGGTGCCAGCAAATTTTGAAAGGCAGTATTAAGGCTCTATTTTCTAGTTTTCCTTTAACAGCAAAATTAATATCCTTCCAACCAAAGACGCACGGGTCCTTGCTTATTTTTATTGTTATTACTTTGATTAAACATAGAGTAGCAGATAGCTTTTAAAGCACCTTATATGCTTTATTATCAAAGGATAAAGGCTCCAATTTCAATGTTCTTGTGATTCATCTCTGAATGTCAGTACTTTCTGGATCTGGTTTTGGACGTGTTTCAAAGACTTAGATACATGCATACCCATACTTAGAGCTAACTCAGTATGATTTAATAAAGTTTTGCACATAAAATGTACTTTTGTTGAAGGGCAATGAACTTCCTCAAATAATTCTGATTTCAGCACAGAGTAGACTTTCTCACCCCAGGAATATGGCGGGAGGGGAGGAAATATCTGATGCTTAAAAAAGAACTCCATTTGGAACTCTGATCTTCGTCCTATCACTAACTCTGTGGCCGGTATATCCAAATGATATGTCCAGTAATATATTATTTGATATTCAGTAATCAAATTCAGTAATATTCAATACTATTTGAATCAGAGAAAAATCAAATAAGTACAAATGTTTGAATGAGATGTACTATAAAAATGTGTTTGCAGGAGAATTAAAAAACAAGTTGCTAAAAATTCTTTCCCTTCTACTTTTCATTTAGAAAATTCTCAAATTTTCTCCATCAGAAAACTTATTGCCATTCTTAGAGGAGTAGAGGCATTAAAATATCTCAATGAAGAGGATGTTTGTAAAATTAGAGTACAACTAAGAGGTATTAGTAAAAAGGCACGAGGCAAAGCCAGGTACTCGCTGGAGATCCAGGGCATGGTGAATAGCCGTGTATGTGTCCATTTAGTCAGCAGATATATATGGGAACCTGCTCTGTTTCAGCTTTGGTCTAGGTTCTGGGAATAAGCAAAGAATTTGGCTGTTAGCATTTTGGCTGTCCTAATAAAAGGGAAGAAAATTATGATGTAATTAAATATATATTTAAGATTTTAGCTCTGTGTATATATGTGTGTGACTGTGAGACAGGGGTGAGGAGTGGGGAGAGAGAGAGAGAAATTGTCTCTTTGTTTCTAAAAATCCTTGGAACCATGTCAAATTGTCCTTTAAGTCGAGTAGAATATTAGCAGTAGAGATAGGTGGATTCAGACTGTCCACGTGAAAACTCTTCCCAGGGTTCCACGCAGACTCTAAAGGACATGGTGCATCTGTTGCCTTTCTTGTCTTATCTATCTGGTGAACCAAGCTCTTCACATTCCAACTTTTACTAATTTGATTCACTCATAAGTGAAGGCTGGCTGATGCTTGACCCATAAGTAGCTTCTCAGAATTCCATATCCCTTTCTGCCGTGAAGTCTAACGTGACATGGAGATTTCTCAGCTCCATTTGCCCCACAGGCAGTGTGGGGTCCAGCCAGCCAGGCAGGTGCTGGGTAATAACTAGTCGAGTTTACCTGATGGAAAGGTGCTGCTCAGGGAAGAGCCCACAGGGGTAGCTTCAGTTCACTTTGTTCTCCACTATGATGTTAACTGCAAATAATTTCAGCCCGAATTGTTCAGCCTCCCAGGACCTGCTTCCCGGGAGTGAAGGTTCTACCTTCTCTCAGATGCTGGTGAAACCACAGCTCCTACTACATATGGCATTTAGTTAAATATCTCTTTGCCTTGTAACACGCTTGCATGCTTGGGGGACATGCCTAATGAAGACAGAAAGCCTGTCCATGTGCGTGTGTAGCCAGAGACTGAAGCTTTATTAACACATTTGCATAAAGAGCTATTTCTTTTGAACAATGAGTTATAATTTTTTTCTGTATACATTTTTCTGTTTCATCTTACCCTTTAGCTAACTATTATTATTAAACACCCATTTCTTTCTTCTATACATAGCTCCACACTCTTCCCTCTTGACCCACACTCCTCCCTCTTAAACCCATCTCCTCCCGCCCACCTCTCCTCTGGTCCCTGGATGGGTGGCTCCAGTATACTCAATCTCTCTCGTTTCTCTGACAATTAATACCTTCCTGGGTTTGGGCCTCTCTCTGCTTGGGATCCCCCAGTTCAACATGATAAATACCCACATTAGAGCACCAAGTGATGTGTGCAATTACAGAGACAGGGAACAGTGCCACTCCAGGTGCAGACACAGGCCATCCTGACTTGATCCATGAAGGCTATCAACAGATACCAACCACCTAATAGACTTTGCTGGGGAGCTAGGTGAGTCAAGGGTACAGACTGACTCAGCAGACCAAATCCAATAAGCTTAGAAATCGGGAAGGCAGGGAGCTCAGCTGCAGATTCAGCTTGAACTTGCTGTGACTTCTTGCTCTACCACTTTCTAGCTACCCTCCTTAGAGTAGGGCATGTGAAGGCCTAACCCAAGGGTGAACATCTGTCTTGCACAGTTGTTATATTTGGCACATATGAGTCAAAGGTGTAGTGTGGTGCCTGACACATAACAGGTACGCAATTAATGTTCATGATTCATGGCAGATTCTGAAACCTATAAAGAGCAGGCTCTGAGACAACAGTTAGAGGCAGAGTCAGAGCAATGGCAGTATTCTTCCAGTGTGAGGGCAAAAAGGCAGTGATTACCAATAAAGCGAGATGCCCAGGTCAGAAATTAAACCACCAGGAGAAAAGATACTGCGGATGAGGAACAGAAGACACAAGCGGCTGAACCATGGCTCCGGCACCAGTTAAGCTGAGCAGGGTCAGCTACTGAAATAACAGCTCATTGCGTTCCTGGGATTCATCACCGCAAATTAATATTTATTAAGCAGCCATGGCACCTGGCACTCTGCTGGCATTTCCTGAATACTCCTTGCCAAGAGGTTCAAAACATCTTCCAGTATACAGAATTCTCACTTACTCTTTCCGTCAATTACCAATCAGTCACTTCATAAGCATTTATATATTACCAAGTGTGTGCCTGGGTGGTCTGCCAGCAACTGTGTAGGATATTAACTCTCAAATTTGTTTCTCTAGCTGAGGCCTCTTCTCTGGGGTTCAAGCACCTCCATCTATCTGTCTGCTTGACCTCTTTAGGTAGGTGTCCCACAAGCCAGCACCAGCCTAATAATGTTCAATACTGAACTAGACCCCACTCCATTAGTTAGTTAGGACCCCATCCAACTTCAGAAACCTGGACTTGGTTTTCCCACCCTCGCCCCTTTCTCTTCTACTCTTAGCAAGCATTCATCTTATCTCCAAGTATATGTTGCATTTTCCCCACTTGACTCCATCTCTATGACCATCGTGTGGTTTGGGCCGTCGGCATTTCTTGCTTGGATTTTATAGCAGATCAGGAGCCTCCTTCCTGAAAGCCCTGCATCCTTTTTTGGCACCTTCTCTGTAGCCCATATTTATACACAACACACACAGACACACACACACACAGAGTCCATTCAGCAGACAGTATCCCAAATCATCATTGTTAAATATAAATCAGACCCTTCACTTTACTCTTTGAATAAAAGCAAACTTCCTGCTGTGCCTGTGAGCCATGGGTGGGCCTCCTGCATTTGTCATTATCTTACCTTCCTGCTCAGAGTGCCCTCCCTTTGGGCCCCACTAGCCCCTATTACCATTCATCAAACAAATCGCAGTGTCACTACTGCAGGGCCTTTGCACTTGCTCTTGGCCTAGAGTTCTCATACTCAGGTTCTCTGCATGTTTAGTTTTCTGATTAAATGTCATAGAATAACAAACCATCCCTGAACCCCATGAAAATTAGTACCTCCCAAGTCCTCAATCTCTGTCATCGCACCCTGCAATCTCTAATACACTTTCTTAACATATTTAATTGCTGCTTATAGATTTCTCTCCCCGAGAATACAAGCTGCAGAGATTTCATCCGTCTTAATCATGGGTAAGCCCCAGCACTGAGCATGCCAAGCACCAGTGGGCAGTCAGTAAATATATAGCTAAATGATGAAAAAAGGATAGAGATCGCTAACGTAAGGAATTTAGAATTCTCAAACTATTACTAATAGAGTATCAGATTTACCCAATGCTGTCATTTGGGTGGTGAGTTGGAATTTTGGCAATTGTTAAGGTACTTACTTAAACACAGCTAATAGTTTTTCCTGGAATAGTCTTAAGTTTCTTTCTGGTCTTTCCAAAATACCAAAATGACAAGATTTGCTCACATGACTCATTTAAAGTCAAGTTCCACTAGAATTACCTAAAGGATGCACCAAATAAGCAGAAATTCTTTTGTAACTGTCAATGATTTGGTGTCATTTGTC